GATTACCTGGCCGGGATTTGCATTCTCACAGACAAAAATATCATATTCTCTGGCAAGCTCTGGAGGGTTGTCATTGACATCCAGGATTCTAATATCAACTGGAACATGGCTTAACAGGCCAGGGTTGTCTGTAATACACATAAAAATGGACACGGTCATTAGACATTTCAAATACACACTTTAAAGTCTTGTTTAAACATTTTTTTAAATGATGGTATGTCAAAAGTCCCAGCTATTACAGTAGATCTTTCAATCATGATAATTTTATAAAGATCCTATTTGCTGAGTCTCATTAACATTTTGAAAAATGAAAAATGAATAGGCAGGCACAGCACGAATACTAAATTGCTATTTTGTCATATCAGGGAAATTACAAGTTACTCGGAAACTGAAGAGGGAAAAAATTGTCAGAGTTTATTGCCTGGTGTCACACTACATTCCAAAAAATGATCAATTAGTGTCACAAATAACCTGAAAGTGTCAGTGAATATTGAATAAAATCTAAAATTAAATACAGCACTTTTTTCCCTCCATCCCTCAAAGATTTCAATATATGAAAATCTAACACTGAAGTGAAAAAAACATGCAAACATAGTTAATCCATTTTGACAAACAGGGCTCCAGCTTCCATGCAAGACATTACACAGCTGCAAATTATATACATATAATAAAATCAGTCTTGATCCTGCTTTAATGATGTCAGTAGGAGTTTTCCTATTAACTTCAAAGGTGCACAGTCAACCTCATAAACAATAATAAAATAATGAATGATAAAGTAAGTATTTTAGGTTTAAAAATCCCAAGAATTTATTTGAGCAGATTAGGTATGTTCCCGATTTCCATAAAAATCAAAACCAAAAGTACAAGAAACAGATTGATTTTAATTAACAGTTTTTCATGAAGAAACAGAAAGGAAATGCATATTTCTGTGATCTGTATACATATTTGCTCATTCTCATTACCGTACTTTGGCTTTTTATATTTTGTTGTATAAATTTTATGTGAAGAACCATTTATAATTAGCATTCTTCATTATAATACTGCCAGCACGTGTGCAAATGAAAGACAGATACCACTTTAGTTACAAACTTTGGATCTGACCTCAAAACTATTTACTTTCCGAAAATACTGTATGTGGTAATTCTGCCACATCCACTCTTCAGGTTGATATAATAGCAAGGATGTTTTCTGACAAATGTGAGGCAAAAAACAGGTGGCCTGAGGCTAAAACAGCGTGCCCCTTAAATCAGCTGAAGGTGTCCTTCCCAAGGTATCAATGGATCCTTTCTGGGGGAAAAAGTCAAACACTCCCTTTTAAAATTTAATCTATACTGCAATATAAGCCCAGGGTCAGTACTCAGTACTATTCCACCTTCCATCTCTATAGAAATGCTAACCCAGGGCTTTGACCTCAGGTGGCTAAAGTCTCCAATTCAGGACCACGTTGGGATCATAGTTCCAGCCCTATTGCTCTGTGGTATAGTCACAGCCCCACCAAAATATCCCACAGTCCCATGGACCAACTTTCTTTGTCCTTTCTTTGTCAAGTTTGGTGTAAGATCAAGTTTTTGCATACTGCACTACAAGCAAATGGTTAGAACCAGCATTCCCTGTAAGCTGGGCAATCGTGCAGCCATTTAGGAGAGATTCCAATACCGCCCAAATGATTAGCAGAGTGCCCACAGTTAGGTTTATGTTTCTACTAGTGTTGCCCATTCACACTTGCCTCAGTATGCATAACAAAATTCTGCACATGGATTGAAAAAAATCAGCATATGGATGGAAAATATTAGAGGGAACATTAGTTAGAGTAGCCACATTTTGGGAGAGTGGTAAGAAACTTAGGAAAGGGATATGATATGACTGGCCCAGATAATGGAATGTAGATGTTGGAGTCCTAGGTTGGAACTTGAGTTTCAACAATTTCTAACCTGGGGTTACAAATGAGTTTCAATGCTCAAGACCTAGGTTAACAAATCTACAATCCATTCATTTGAGTTCTACTAATCCTGGGCTGACATTAGAGAATAGACATATGCCTAGAGACCATTAGATTTGGAAAAACATGGATGTTACCTGAATGAAAAAGTGAATTCCTGAGATTACTAAGTGACCTCTCTAGGAGTTTAGGAAAAATCTCAGGGATTTGAGATGTAATATTTACTTTAAAATCATAGAATACTAGAACTGGAAGGGACCTTGAGAGGTCATCAAGGCCAGTCCCCTGCCCTCATGGCAGGACCAAACGCCATGTCCTAAATTTTAGCTTTTGAGGGAGGCATGCTGTGGAGAGTGGAAATCATTTCCACTTAAAGAAAATAGGTAGATGCCACAGTATGATGAGCATATCACTCACTCCCCTGGGCAAAGGGGAATGCCTCTTTTAGCAGTGGGAGATGAGCTTGTAATGATGGGACTGCATCATCATGCAGGGATGGGATGATTAGCAGTAGCTACAGAACCTCTGCATGCTCAAGGCCACCTTCTCCGAACTCTTAGAATGGCTTGTCCTTGACATAAAGCAACGGGATACCTGCATGAGTCCTGCTCTCACCATGCAGAAGGGCGTGGCAATTGCCCTCTGGAAGTTTGCTATGCCAGACAGCAACCACTCAGTAGGGAAACAGTTTGGGGTGGGAAAATCAACAGTTGGGGCTGTGCTCATACAAGTAGTGAAGGCCATCAACAACATCCTGCAATGGAGGATCATGACTTTGGGGAAGGTGGACAGCATCATGGATGGCTTTGCCACCATGGGCTTCCCTAACTGGGGGGCAGGAGGAAGAACATTGAATTCACAACCGCATCCTGGTCCCGACTACCTTGCCTCAGAGTACATCAACAGGAATGGATACACCTCCATGGTGCTGCAGGTGTTCCTGGATCACAAGGGACGCTTCAATGACATCATATTGGATGTTCAGGAAAGGTGCATGATGCCTTCATCTTTTGGAATTTCTGCTTCTTCCAAAAGATGCATGCTGGGACTTTTTTCCCCAGACAGGACAATCACAGCCAGAGAGGAGGACATGACCATCATGATCCTGGGTGATCCAGCCTTCTCCTTGCTCCTGTGACTCATGAAGCCCTACACAGGCAGCCTGGACCCCAACAAGGAGGAGTTAAATAACAGGCTGAGCAAATGTAGAATGGGGGTCAAATGTGCATTTGGACATTTAAAGGGAGGTTCAGGAGTCTCCTGACCTGCCTGGACCTGAGCAAGTGCAACATGTCCTTCATGTGGTGGTATGTTGTGTGCTCCACAACCTGTGCAAGAACAAGGGGAAAATATTTCTGCTAGAGTGGGGGAGGCTGAAGCAGAATACCTGGCCAGGGAGTTTAAGCAGCCGGACACCAGCACCATAAGCAGAGTACAGCAAGGGGCAGTGCTAATCAGAGAGACACTGAAGGACAGTTTTATGCAAGGCCAGTCCTGAGACTATCCCCCATGGCTTTCCACAAGGAGCCCCTGCATTCCCTGCATTTCTCTTTCATCCCACACCCTTCCCTTCCCCTGTCCTCCCTTCCCCAGTCTGCCCCTTCCTTGCCCTCCTTCCCCCTGCAGTTCCAGCAATAAAGAGATCATTAATCAACAAACAGGAATGCATATGAGGGTGATGGACATGAGGGAATGAACTGGGTACTGCAGAATGGGGGTCAAATATGCATTTGGACATTTAAAAGGAGGTTCAGGAGTCTCCTCACCTGCTTGGACCTGAGTGAGCACAACATCCCCTTCATTGTAGGAGGGAGGGGACTCAGGAATGGGATCGGGACTGGTGCCTGCCTTCGTATGGTTTGGAGGCTCTGGCTGTCCTAAAGGACACCTTCCCCCATATTCTGGGGTCCCAGTGGCCCCTTGGGATCCTGACAGTGAAAGTCATGGAATGGGTGAGGTTCTGCTGGTGGCCTACTCCAAGGAGGTCACCATGCATTCCATCACAGAGGTGAAGATGGAGAACATGGTCTCCTGCTGGTGTGCTAGGGCGGCCCTCTTCTCCTCTTGAAGACCCAATCCAGGCACTCTGCACGAGGGAGTGCAAACATTCCATCTACTCCCTTATGAGCTCATCCTTGTTTTCACCTGTGAATCCGGGTCAGGCAGGCAGATGCAATTGTAGATAGGGGATGCACCCAACTCACAACTGGCTCAGCTATCAAGAAAATTACAAGGGAAGTCATTACAAGAGACACTTAGTATGAAGTCTACCCTTAATATTTTAGACTACGTCTACACTGCAGTTATTTAAGAATAAGCAGTCTTTCCTAATGTAGACATGCTATCTCAATTTAGCGCCCCAGGAGGAATAACTTAGAATGGCTCTGGTGAGGGGCTATTTCTAAACAGCAGAAGTTGGACATCTACAGACACCTTATTTTGAAATAGCTATTTTGGAATAGGTGATATTCTTTGCAGAATGAGGTTTACAGAAGTCGGAATAAGCCATCTGTTATTTCAAAATTATTTTGAAATAATGGAATTGCTGTGTAGACACTCACATAATTATTTCAGAAGAAAGTCTGTTATTCCAAAATAATTTTGCTGTGTAGACACACCCTTAATGTACACCAGCGTTTCCGAAACTATGGGCCGTGGCCCGGTACCGGGCCGCGGGAAAAAAATACTCCTAGCCAGATACCCTACTCCTGCTCCTGCTCCTGCCTCCCGGAGTGCCCATGCGGCACCGGGTCCCCCAAGCCCTGGCCCAGGCTAGGTGAAACACTGAAAATGTATTCATTTTTAATTCTTTTTTTATATGTGTTTATATTTTTGGGCTGCAAAAAACATTACTGAAAAAAACCAGGCTCCAACTAAAGTAAAAAGTTTGGGAAACCCTGGTCTAGCCAGCTTTCTATCCATCTTACAGTCCAGTTATCCAATCCATATTCCCTTAATTTGCTGGCAAGAATATTGTGGGTGACCGTATCAAAAGCTTTGCTAAAGCTGGCAATGGGGGATTTGGGAGGACCAGAAACAACTTATTTGAATATTCACCATCTGCTTAATGAATATGCAAATGAATGTTATGGGTTCTCCAAAAGCTTGTGAATGGATTTACTGGTCCCCATGTCAAAAAGTTTGGGAACCCCTGATGTACACCAAAGATTTCAGACAATGGCGATGTGT